GCTAGGTTTGTGTGCGGTAGGGTTACTGTATAATCGAGCCGAATCACTTCACAGCTGCAAGCTGCATCTTCAGAAAATGAAGTCGCTGGGCCACGGGCGCGTCAAGTTTGGAGCCAGAACGAGAAAGCATTCTAACTGGCTTGTGCGGCGGCGTATTGTTTTCTTCGTCGGATAGCACCAGCACATCATCCTCCTCTACCGGACCATCGCCTTTACCATCCACCTCCATGGCTTCGGCCGCAGCATCAGCCTCGTCGCCGAGGCCACCGGCCTCCTCCATCTCTTCTACGGGACGTTCACCCCCTTCTGCCCCACCTTCACCCTCCAAATCACCCTCCTCATCAAGATTGTAATCCTCTCCATCACCGGCGGACTCCGGATCATCCTCCTTACCCCAACAGATTCAACTGAGACCTCTAAGGCACCAAGAAATGCGAAGCACGAGCCCATCAACGAATTGTCCAAGAGACAGTTTCTGGCGCATCAAGCTCATGAAGCCTGTCGGGGAACCATGCCTCCAAAAGGATACGTTTGAGCTGGCGGAGGTCTGGATCCTTAGCAACCATTCTTGCTTGATCTATGCTTAAGGTCGTGCTAGAACTCACTATTCACTATAGACCCTAGCAAGTCTGGCAAGTGTCGTGGCTTCGGGAAGGAGACCCAATCCTCCGAACGAAAAGTGAGCAGTGCTTGCGTATACCCCAGGCATCGCAGATCAAAGCAGGGCCCTTGGGATCAGGAACATGAAGAAGATATCGGAGTTTCAGCACCTCCAGTCCATATGAGCCCACACACCAAAAACAAAGGCAATACTTTCACACCATAGCACATCTTAGCATGTCTACAGACACACAGACACACACAGAACACAGACACACACACACACACCACGTACACACACACACACACATACATTCACTTTCTCTCTGTCACACACACACACATGACATAGCCGACGTGAACATCACTCGGGGCCTCCTTCCTGATGTCAGACAGGCTCGGGGCTTTGGGGTGCGGCGTAGATAAAGCCCAAAGTTCGAAGAGGGGCTTCAGGGCCAAATAATTGAATTTGGCATGCTGCATGCTTGCGGTTCCTGTGCTCGCAGGATCCTTCCACTGCATGAGGGCATGGTGGTCAAGCAATCGTCGGCGTAAGACCTCATCGGCCTCCCACCGCTCTGCCAAACCGGCCAGGGAGTTCGCAACCATGTTTCTGATGCCCTCTGAACTATACACTAGGCAGGCTGCCGTGCTCATGCCGCTGAGCCCCCAACAAAAATATTAGCTTTCACAGAAACATGCAGCACGACATCAGAGATTCATGCTGCTCTATACTGTCAATCTACCAGGACAGTTGGCACTGCAGTGACGGCGTCGATGAGGCCAGGGCCCTCACGTAGATTTCAATGACTCATCCGGCAGCCGTCGGAGCAGGTACCTGCGCACAGCATGCATGCCCACTGGTGAGATGCTCTCATTATGGCAGCTCCGAGCACTCATTCTAGCCGTTTGCACGAGAGCTGGCAGCTGCATCTATAAAGCTTCGGAACATCTGCAGGAACCTGTATGTACAATAATACAATCACTACAGTCATCTGCTCCGTCACAGGTGATTCTGCACTTCAGTGGTCCCCTGAGCTGGCTGAGCCCGACAGCTCACCTTCCGCCGACGATGATGTCACCTCGGATTTCAAGCTTTATGCCTCAATATTTTGGGTCAGCCATGATTCGAACACACCACCCACCCCAGACTTCAACTCTATAAAGTTAAGGCTCGGGTTCCTGACCTCGGGTTTGCATAAACTCGTGTGCGTTCGTATATGTGGAGAATGTACAGATTGGGGCAGACATGTGGAGTGCAGCCCAAGCAACTTTTCCTCCGAATTTGCCGGGCCAGATGGCGAGCAACACCCATGTTTCCTTAGAATAGCCGGTAAGCTGAAGAACCGAGTTTTGGGAACCCCCAACACGTAATCCAAGCATCGGTAATTCTTCACTATTTGTTCGACTCTGCATATGGTGAGCTCGGTCTCCTTCAGAGATATGGTAACGAGACGAGGTAAAGTTCTTGGATTCTCGCAACACCCCGCCTTGGCATCGGGATACATGACAAGAACGACATCGAACCAAAAGGAGGGCGGCATGCCCCAGAGACCTGAGACATTAACATCCTAAAGGATTTGTGAACAAGTACATGTCGTCTTTCTATAGACCTGGGGCATAGGCCTAAATCACGTACATCCTGCTCCAGCCGCGGGCGGGATTCTAACAGCTTTGCCAGCAACTTATCACCCATGGCTGCCGGCAATGCAGGACCCTGGACCTTTGAGCACAATCAGCTCCGTTTATACAGATGAAACAAAAACCAACCCTGCATCTTGCAAATCGCACATCTTGGCAAGCACTGGGGCACGCTTTGACGAGCTTCAGCCGCCGATTGGCCCGGGAAACGTGCTTAACCATGGACACAGGCCGGCGATTGAACGAAAGAGTGCTCTCCAATTCTGTCTGATTGCAATATCTATTCCCGACATGTCAAGTCTGATTGTTGATTGTATCATGGACCGATTGTGGCGACTCGGAGCCACACACCTGGCATTGCCTGGCATACAAGGCTGTTTCTTTAATCGCAACTTACGAATAGCCCTCGAAAGTCACAATCAGGCGCTGGGGCTATTTTTGGGGCGTAGGCTATTCACGGATCAGATCAGGGGCCTATACAGCCTTGGCTGATTTTTTGGCCTTTCTAGAAGTCCAGGTAAACCCTAAACCCTAAACCCTAAACCTTAAACCCGAAATACTACATCATAGGCCGACTCAAAACTCGTATATACATCCGGCACCATCTTAGGACGCAGTACCTAGACCCTCCATCTACCCTCTACCAGACCCTAAAAATACCTATTTGCTGGGGCCTTTTGTGCCCCTTTTTAAGGGTGCAGGGAGGGTCCTGGTATCTAGAAAGTCTGCAAAATGGTACCAATTTTGGGTTATTTGGGTTCTAGCGGAATGCCTTTGCTGTTTGCATCGTCTCCTTTGAGGCTCACGAGTTAAAGGGTGTGGAGATTCTGAGGTACAGACAGCGACAGCGCCGGTTAATTTATGAAGCAGTTAGTTTTTCGTGAGGGGGAGGGGGTCGATTTCTTAAGTTTGAAGCGCACCTTGGTTTAGTAAAGACAACGTTTCGGGATTTGAGTGTGCCTTGGATTACTTAACCCAAGTTTCTTTGTTTGACAGGCTCCAAAATTAGCCGCAAAGAATTTCAAGAAATCAAGGGACTAGCCCGCAGCACCTTCCATTCCATTCGTGCGCTTATCCACTCGGGCATGGCATCCTTTAGGCCTCTCAATCCATATTCATAGCGTATACAGCTTGTATTCAGCCCTTACCAGAAACCCTCCCAAAATCAGAAATTGAGCCCCTCAATGTTTTAGTTTTAAGAGGTCGAGCCCCTCAATTTCTTATTTTTGGTTTGCAAAACCAGTGAAGACGAAATGATAAGAGCCAAATAGGAAATTGGCATGCCGAGTCCAGCAAACCCTACATTTCTTTTTTTCATATTTTTGTGTTTGCTTTTTTTGTCGCACGGCTGTCCGAGGAGCTCAATTTCTAAACCTATGATTTCTTAAGCAGTGCTGTTGCCGTAAGCATGCAGGGTTGATGGGGTCTTTAGAGTTTATGGCTTAGGTCTTGAAGCTTTAGGATTATAGGGTTGTAGGCAGTTATTATATAGGGTCAGGGGTTTGGTTCCTAAATTTCAGTTTTTGCCTTAAGGCTCCTAGGACGGTCTTGGGCTTTCTGGGGGAGGGTTTCGGCTTTGGCGGCTAGGGCTAGGGTTTGGGATCTCACTACAAGGGTGCAGGAGCCTTAGGGTGAACCCGAAAGGAGGGTTTGGGGGTTGCCACGATAGTCCCGAGATTCGGCGGCTGCACACAAGTCTCCAAAGGCTATAAGCACGCCACGCCGTGTACTACATGTCTTTCATGCACTACTATAGCCACTACGCATTACTCTATACGATGCGGTTCTCCTATGCCACTCATACTACAAAGACCGAACTTTAGGGGTCGGAAGACTTACAAACGTGGCCGATAGAGTCTCCTTTTGCTTGTTTGAATGTGGGTTTAGGGTTTAGGGTTTAGGGTTTAGGGTTTAGGGTTTAGGGTTTAGGGTTTTAGGGTTTAGGGTTTAGGGTTTAGGGTTTAGGGACCCGCCCAGGCCCTATTCTGCTTGTCAGGGCCTTTCCGTAAGGCCGAAACCCTAGACGTTGCACTCCCCTCGTCTAGTTAGTCTAGTGGTTGAGGCCCTTCCCTAAACCCTACAGAAAGGCCCTAGACCTTTCTGAATAGGGTTTAGGGTTTAGGGTACCCTAAACCCTAAACCTTAAACCCTAAACCCTAAACCCATGAACCCTACTCTAACTATTATGCCCATCCTAGTAGGATCTTGTCATGGCCAGGTCTCCTCCGAGGAGGGCAACTATTTTTGGGGCCCTGGCCCCAGAAGCGGTTTGGGGTTTAGGGTTTAGGGTTTAGTATGTGGTCCCTAATTATAGGTATTTAGGGTCTAGCAGTGGGTAGAAGGAGGGTCTATGGACGCTTCAGGGTTGGAGGCTTGGTTCTAGAACGGTTTGTAGCGGGTTTGGTTTCATGGTTTTGCGCTTTAGGGCGTGACACCCGCTTCTAGAACTCTAAACCCAAAAGGACCCCCGAGAACAACTCCCAAACCCGAAAACCTTGAGAATGCTTCAGAAAGGCCATCAAAACCCGGCTTAGACAATGGGCAAAGGGCCGCCAAAGGGCCTTTAAAGGCTGAATCCCTGATAGAGAGTTGGTCATGCGGCTTTTTACAACACCCCGCAACTGCCCAAGGTCAGTTTTGGCTCGGTGATGCCAAGAGGTCGAAGACCAACGCGATCTGCGATTTGATTCCCAAGGACTCCGGGGCTCGGGCTACTACTATCAGGGTTCTAGGGTTTAGGGGTTTAGGGTTTAGGGTTCCGGGCAAGAACACTTAAGTTGAGGGTTCCGTCTGCAATTTTACGATCATACACCCCGAAACCCCACTGTCAGTATGAGTTCCCTACAGTACGAGTTGGGGATCGTGGCTTGACATGGGCTTACGGGTTTGGGGGTTTGGTGTTTGGGTGCCGGGTTTAGGGTTTAGGGTTTAGGGTTTAGGGTTTAGGGGTTTAGGGTTTAGGGTGTCGGGCTTCGGATACGGAGTTTAGGTTTCAGGTTCAGGGCTTCGGGGTTTGGGAAACTGCTAATCAAAACTGTGCAGCACCCGCATCTAGTATCCAAGACCACAGGAGTTCTTGGGAAATCCGAGCCTAAACCCAAAAACTTTAAACCCCAGACTTTAAACCATGGGGAGTATTGGTGATTTCATCTTGCGGGGAAAGCCGGATCTTGTCCGGCAAGCACCACGATGCAGGATTTCAGCGTTGATGGTCTAGGGCTTAGGGTTGTGGGTTCCGGCTAGAGCTTGGCTTCAACAACGGCATTCCCAAAGCCTTAAAAATAGGCTATGTGCTCCTGATCCTGCGCACTTG